ACTTCCAAAACCACAAACCTACCACAAATAAGGCTCCAATGCAAAATTTTAAAATTTCTCCTTTAACCGTTCCCCCGTAAAGCCAAAAGATCCGAATTTAGTACATTTTGTACAATTTAGTTCACATTTCCAAACGTACCTTCCAACCTTGATTATCATACCAACTTTCAAGTTTCTAGTTCTATCCGTTCACATAATACCAAATGGTACCATTTCAGAAGTTTAGTACCATTTTAGAAGTTTTCGTAACCTTAAAGTTCGAATTTCCAAAAAACCCTTTGGTACATCGATCCTGCACTCTATCAGCGCCTCTTGGTCATTCCGTTTATCCAATAATTTTTTTTTCAATTTTTAGTACATTTTAGTAATTTTCATACCATTTTAGTACGAATTTTCAAAAACCCAGCCTTATCCCATGTCCCTGGGCGTTGATTCTCAGCTATTCAGTCAGTTAATTCACTACCGTTTTTATACCCTCCACCATAGTATGGAGGCTATATTAAGTTTGTCATTCCGTTTGTAACACCTCGAAATATACATTTTAGACCCCACAAAGAATATTTATTCCTGATCAGCATAAAATTCTATGTCGAGTTAGCAATGTCCGTCCGTCTGTCCATCTATCCGTCTGTGGAAATCACTCTAGCTTCCAAACGAAATGAAGTAGATTGATAAAATTTTACTCAAATGTGTATTATGTCTGCAGGACTTTTTGTATTGAAAATGGGCCATGGCGTGGACCTAGTCTTCGTATAGCCCCCATATAAGGGTACCTCCCGATATTCGGTATGTTGACGATTTTAGAGACATTATTTACCGGAATTGTTTCAAATTTAGTATTTGAAGTTCGTAATGGATACTACAGCCTTTGATAAAAAATTGTCTGTGCAGGTCCACGTTTTCGCATAGCCCCATATAAGGGTACCTCTCGATATTCGGTATTTTGATGATTTTAGCGACATTATTCACCGGAATTGTTTGAAATTTAGCATTTGAAGTTCGTAATGGATACTACAGTCTATGCCAAAAAATTGTCCCTGTCTTCGTATAACCCCCATATAACGGAACCCCCTATATTCGGCATTTTGATGATTCTAGCGACATTATTTACCGGAATTGTTTCAAATTTAGCATTTGAAGTTCGTAATGGATACTACAGGCTATGCCAGAAAATTGTTTGTGCAAGTCGCATTTTAATATTGTAATAGCTTGTGACAAAAGTTATCTATGCAGGTCCACGTCGTCGTATAGACTCTAATATTCGGCTACATTCGGTATTTGGAAGATTTTAAAGAATTTTTAACGGATTTTATGTTTTTAAAAATTGCCAAATTTGTAACAAATGGTGGGGAGTATTCACAGTTTGGCCCGGCCAAACTTTCAGCTTTTTTACTTGGTTATTTATAGATAAACGATAATTGGCTGAGAGTATACATACATCTTTCGGCAAATCCGACTGATGTTTTTTTTTTTTTTAAATGTTTAATAAATTAAATTTTTTAAAATATCGATTTTTAATATTTTTTTTTCATTAATAATTTTTCTACTCATTTTTTGTAATACCAGATTTTTAAGTGCTCTATTTCAGAACCGTTTTTCTATTTAATAAAAGATCGCTGAACTAAACTTGTGCACAGCAAATTTAAATTGCATTCAACAGCTGCCAAAAAATATTTGCAAAGTCAGCATAACGTACACACTTCAGTGGCACATAAACAATGTCCTGTCTAGCATGCTCTGCAAACAACACAACACACCTAGATGTAACAACAGATTGGCAAAAAAAAAAAAAAAACATCCAACGCAAAAACCAACAAATTACTGTAGTATACTTTTAGGAGACATTTTAGCTGGAATCTCCGTTGTCATGGAAGCCATCCAGCCAGCCATATGGCTGCTGTGCTATGCTGTGCCATTAAAAAAAGTTAATTAATTCAGACATGAATTCAGGTTTACGTTCTCCCGCCATAAAGGTTATTGGCTATCAAGAGGTGTCTGAGATTGCATTGCGTTGAAATCTCTTCGTATGTTTGTTCTCTCATTCATTTACATTGCAAATAATGGCTTTTTAATCACCCTACCCCCTCCCGTCATTTCAGCTGATGTGTTAACAAGGTGAAGGATTTCTGCATCAGCAAACTTTCTTCTAGTCGCTGTCAAAATCAAATACTTGGCTTTGCAAAGATATCGTTTAATAATACATATTTACTCTTTATGGTCTATAAGAGATTTTGCAGCGACACCAACAACAATGCAAGGTGTTTATTTGTGTAATTTGAGCAGAATGCCATTGTGGTTGGGCCGGCTCTTTGGTTGGCTGGCTGCTTTTTCACGGTCTAATGACAGACATGGCAAATAGACGTGTAAATAGACTTAATGTCTGTTAGGCAAAAAAATATATATATTTTCCCCTGGCCAGGACACGTCGAAAATAAACAAATTTCGGTAAATATAGATTGTTAAATTTAGGTGTCATATAGACAACTTTTAGTATTTAATTATAGGGGGAGATATTTTATTTTTGCATTGCTTTGGTGTGGTTTTGGAAATAATATTTTAGGCTGGGAATTGCTATTTTTGGGAATGAATGTCACATTGTCGGTATATTAAGAGACTAACTCTTTAGACTCTTCATAAGCATAGATAGGCTGCAAAAATTGTTACAACCATACGTTTATAGATGTTATATAAATTTTATTTTTATAAAACGAGGTATATATATTTGAAACAGAATGGTATAAGAAAAGTATCCTCATTCATCCCATTCCCATTTGAAAAATAAGTTTCTTTATATCCTCAACCATATGCTTAGAGAGGGTATATATCATGAGAGAAGATCTAGCGTAGTCCGTCTATCGAAGGCAGTATTCGATTTGGTCCAAACTTGGTATATTGTAATATTATTTTCGAACTTAGATAGAATTCGGAGATGGGCAATGTCGGTCCACCCATTATTGTACCTCCCCCACAAAAGATCTAAATTTTCAAAAAAAGGGAAATGATATCAGTCGGTTTTGCCGACAGAAGTATACCCCCAACCTTGAGTTATGATTTCCTAAACTTTTGACCATTTATGGTGGAGGTTCTGAAGTTGGCCAATATTAAACAATGCGTATCTGACCTAAGACACACATATATATATATATTAAAACGAGCCAGATTTGGACTATATCGACTACTTCCTATACTTTATATGAGATATGTGCACATTTTTGGAAAATGTGGAAATATGCGTGGTGTGATATAGCGGACCGAAGTATTCTATTTTCGCAGATATATATCATTTTAACAATAGAGCCTGCGTTAGGAAAAATACTTGGATGTGTGAAATTTGGAGAGAGTTGGAAGTTTATTTCGCTTTCTTTGAGCGTTTTGCTTTTCAAAATATTGTGGGATATTCAAAATTTGATGGATGGATGGATATTCAAATTTTCGACCTTTTGTGGGGGAGGTACTTGATGGAGTGGACCAGACCTAAAACTGACGTAAATATCAGGATTTGCAAAGTTGGAACAAAATAGGATTATCGATTCTCTTTCTGTGCAAAAAAACAATTTTTTTTTTCTAATTTCGACAATTTGTGGGGAAGGTACCAGAAGTAATGGACCGATATATTCCATCTTTACATCAGACCATCTTAACATCAGACCTTGGGTTAACATAAATATTGGCATGTGTGAAATTTGAAGACAATCGGACTCTTATATCACATTTTATAAGAGTTGTAATTATTCAAAACTTTGACCATTTGTGGGGGAGGTTCTTGATGGAGTGGACCGATATTGTCCATATTCACACTTGACCAAGCACAGACGCAAATATTAAGATTTGCAAAGTTGGAGCAAAATCGGATTACCGTTTCTCTTTCTGTGCAAAAAATCAATTTTTTGAAAATTTCGAACTTTTGTGGGGGAGGTACCAGATGGAGTGGACCGATATTGCCCATCTCCGAACTCGATCTAAGTTTGACAAAAATATTACGATGTACCAAGTTTGGACCAAATCGGATACTCCCTTCGAGAGTTATCATGCGCACCAGACAGACGGACGGACGGACATCGCTAAATCGACTCCAAATGTCATGAAACGGATTTGGCCCAAAGAGAACTAGGGTCTAAACTTTTTTTCGATGAGGCACGTTATGGCCCAATGAAATGATACTGTAGCCATATGGCTGAGGGAATTTTTTTAATTTAGGCCTGCTCTAGGACCTACGGCAGAATTTTACGACATAAAATTTGTTGAATATATTTAAAAGCTACCCTCCCGTTTATAGGTAGTTTTTAGCCATATTCTGTAAAAAAGACCAAAAAGACTCCTTTGGTGACTCGCTTGGGGGTTAAAATCTTTATTATTCGTTGCATTGTTATTAGAAATATTTGCTGAAGGCAATATATACCTAGAATCCACAGATTTCGAGGAATCTTAATTAAAAAATTAAAAAAAAAATTAAAAAAAAAAAAATTAACAAAATAAAAATATGGAACAGCTATAGTCCCCATATAACTGCACCGGCAATTTTAAGGGGTTTTGGGTGCTCTAGTCACAATTTTTAACCGAATTAGCTGTAAATTGGCAGTTTGCTTTCCCAGTATGTGGGAAATACCCTTCCAGAGAACTGCCCACATTCAAATATTGATGATTTGTGGTTTATGGTTACCGATGACAGAAAATTGCCTATCGGTATTCGATTTGATTTCTTTTTTAATGAAATTATTGAAAAAATGTTATTTGAAGTTCATAATAGGCTCCGTTTCCTCTGGCAGATAATTGGCTACAAAGGGCCACATTTTCGTATGGACCCCATATAACTGTACCTGCCGATATTTTGTAATTTTAGCGTCATTTTTTCCACGTATTTTTTTTAATTTTTGCAATTTTTTCATATAATTCAGGTTATTTATAGTTCACCTCAGCCTGGACTTTCTTGTTATTTATGAAAATTTGTTATTAAAAATATCTCTCCATAGTAGCTTAATTATTTTTTTAACTTTTCTCAATTTTTTTTTTCAGATAAATTAAATGACATTTAAGTAGTTGAATGAAGCACCGTCGGAGTAGTTACTTTCTTGAACAGCCTTGTACTACAAAATATTAGGTGGGCGGTAAGTAAAAACAAATCTTCTATTTGTTTTCTAAATTTGCAACTAGAACAATCTTATAGAAAGGTCAAGTGTTTCCGGAAATTCTATAAAATTTCCAAGGCAATGTCTGGAACAGAATGTGGCGAAAAAAAAAGAAAACAAGTAGAAAAGAAGCTAAGTTCTTTTAATACCCTCCACCATTTCGAAGGAAATTAAAAAAAATGAAAAAAAATCTAAAAACTAACACTTAAATGAGAACCGTTATATATGGGGACTATTCGAAAACGTAGACCTGTTTACGAAATTTTTTGTCATAGGCTGTAGTACCCATTACGAACTTCAAATACCAAATTTGTTACAATTCCGGTGAATAATGTCGCACAAATCATGAAAATACGGAGTATCGGGAGGTAGTGTCATATGGAGGCAATACAAAGACGTGGGCCTGCACAGACAATTTTCCGTCTTAGGCTGTAATATCCATTTCGAACTTCAAATACCAAATTTGAAACAATTCCGCTAAATAATGTCGCTAAAATCATCAAAATAACGAATATCGGGAGGTACCCTTATATGGGGGCTATACGAAGAGGTGGACCTGCACAGAAAATTTTCTGTATTAGGGTCATTGCGAAATTCAAATACCAAATTTGAAACAATTCCGGTGAATAATGTCGCTAAAATCGTCAAAATACCGAATATCGGAAGGTACACTTATATGGGGGCTATCCGGAGACGTGGACCTGCACAGGCAATTTTCTGTCATAGGCTGTAGTATCCATTTTGAACTTCAAGTATCAAATTGGAAACAACTCTGGTGAATATTGTCGCTTAAATCATCAAAATACCTAATATCGGGAGGTGCCGTTATATGGGGTCTATACGAAGACGTGGACCTACATAGACAACTTTCGGTCATAGGCTGTAGTACCCATTACGAACTTCAAATACCAAATTTTAAAGAATTCCGGTGAATAATATCGCTAAAATCAACAAAATACCGAATATCGGGAGGTACAGTTATATGGGGGGTATACGAAGACGTGGACCTGCGTACAACAATTTTTGTCATATGCTGTAGTACCCATTACGAATTTCAAATACGAAATTTTAAATAATTCCGATAAATAATGTCGCTAAAATCATGAAAATACCGAATATCGGGGGGATACCGTTATATTGGGGCTATACGAAGACGTGGACCGGCACAGACAATTTTCTATCATAGGCTGTAGTATTCATTTCAAACTTCAAATACCAAATTTGAAACAATTCCGGTAGATAATGTCGCTAAAATCATCAAAATACCGAATATCGGAAGGTACCATTATATGAGGGCTATACAAAGACTTGGACCTGCATACAACAATTTTTGTCATAGGCTGTATTACCCATTACGAACTTCAAATACGAAATTTTAAATAATTCCGATAAATAATGTTGCTAAAATCATGAAAATATCGAATATCGGGAGGTGCCGTTATATGGAGGCTATACGAAGACGTGAACCGGCACAGACAATTTTCTATCATAGGCTGTAGTATTCATTTCAAACTTCAAATACCAAATTTGAAACGATTCCGTTGAATAATGTTGCTGAAATCATCAAAATACCGAATACCGGGAGGTACCGTTATATGGGAGCTATACCAAAACGTGGGTACACATGGCCCATTTACGAACTTAACCTGCTAACTGGTAAGCTATGCATGTATGCAAACTAAGCTATGCATGTGATTACAACAGATAGACTAATGGACATATCTTAGAATTTTACGCTTATCCATATTATATATACTTTTTAGGGTCTGTTATAAATATTTCGAGGAGTTACAAACGGAATGCCAAAGTTAATATACCCTCCACAGAATGGTGGAGGGTATAAAAATACAAACCTCTCTGCTGAATTTTATTTATGCGATTGTCACTATCAATTTTGTCTAATTTATTTATTTAATCCTTAGGTTTTCAAAATATTTAATATGGAGAGAACCTACGGATTACACAAATAAATAAATTAGACGTTATTGCAATAAAAAATTAGCTCTCTTTCACTTAATTTAATTACCTCGCCAACAGATGTGAAACACCCTATTGACATAAACTTGAAAGCTTTTTAATTGAATTACCCGAAGGCAAATATGACAAAATTTTAATAAAATGAGTTGCCCTGTCTTTTACTCACACACACACAAAAGGCAACCCCTTCATGGCCACAAGTCACCCAACATACCAAAAATACAATACAGCTTGAGAATAATATTATGAAAATAGTTTATCATAAGAATTTTTCAACAATGCTTGAGAAACACTTTTTTGCACAAACTTTTCTCAAATCTGTCCTTTGTTGACAAATTTGTTTTGATTTTTTTTGTGAAAATTGTCAACAAAAAATTATTTTCTTTGGTTAAAATCAAAGTCACGCGAATTTAGGACCCATTTCCGGACGAAACTCTAAGGTAATGATGAATAATAAATCTGGGAATCTGTAGTATAAATTATTTCAATCTCATTTCAGAATGGAGGCGTCAAAAAGTTGCAGGAATTCAACAGAAGTGAAGAATAAGTGGAGGAGATACAGAAGCTCAAATAAGGGGAAAGAAAGCATCTAAGTATCAAGGCAACAGGATGCAGTGACAGCTGGGATGTCAATCAATGAATGAAATGTGTAAAATAATTAAAAAATGAATAAATAAATATTTTTTACAATTGAAAAAATAAGCTTTATAAAATATTACTTTCGTAAGCTTATTCTGCAATTACAAGAATAAGCTTATGAATAAGGGTTCCTTTTCGATTATTCTATAATTGTTAAACAAACATTTCTCAATACATTCTCAAGATTTTCTCAAGCTTTAGGCTTATGTTTGTAAGCTTATTAAAATATTATTCTCAAGTCAATTTGGTATGTTGGGCATATTTAATTGACATTACCTCAATGAGAGCGTATGTATATGTGTGTGTGTGAGGGAGTGTGATTGTCTCTTATTAACCCATTATGTAATTAATATAACAAATTGTCAATTTATGTTGGCATATATGTGTCGCTGTACTCATCAGCCTATAGCTATGCGCCTGAATACCACTGGCTGCCGCATCATTCCACAAAAAAGAATCTCTACAAACGATTTACTTTAATTACGTTCAGAATTTTCCTCCCGGTTGGCTATGGAGGTCGTTGCTCGGGGAAGTACAAAAGCATGCAACTTGGTATATACAAGGCACTGGGAGCAAACGACACTGCCTGTGACATATTTGTTTACATACATACACATACATATATATTTACATATGAGCAATGTAAGGGCTTACCTTTTGTTTTCAGCCTATGCTGACATGTAATCAGTCAGTCAGTCAGCCACCCAACAATCCAACCAAGCGAATGACGACCTAATTTTGACGTTGACAAATATGTGGGAATTATTCGTTTGTCGTCTTTTGAAAGTCAAGCTTTTGGGGTTGGGACTATAAGCAATTATGGCAAAGTTTTATACATAACAGTATTTTTTAATTATTTGCGAACTCTAGGTGTATGAGTAACATTTGTATGGAGGAGTTAGAAATTAATTTTTTTTTTTGAAATTTTACTGAAAGGTTTTCTGTGTAATTCAAATTTACAAATATTTTTAATTTTATGCAACCATTTTTCATTAGAAATCATATTAATTTTCAAATTAATATTTTTTGGCTTTATTTTCCAATTGTTTTGGCTCAACATTTTTGGGGGAACTAACATTCCATCGAAAATGTTGGTCCTTTTTTCAAAATGTGGTTAAAAACTTCCTTTAAATGGGATAGTAGCAAGTCAGAATATTCTAAAAAGTTATTCATCAAAAGTACCTTAACGTCTGGCATTCATGAATAATGGATGAATTTTTAACTATTATTTTTACACCCTCCACCATAGTATGGAGGAAATATTAAGTTTGTCATTCCGTTTGTAACACCTCGAAATATACAATTTAGACCCCACAAAGTATATATATTCTTGATCAGCATAAAATTCTATGTTTAAACCCGTCTATGGAAATCACTTTAGCTTCCGGAGGAAATGAAGTAAGTTGCTAAAAATTTACTCAAATGTGTAATATGTCTGCAGGACTTTTGGTATTGAAAATGGGCTATGTAGGTCCACGTCTTTGTATAGTCCCCATATAACGGCACCTCCCGACATGCGGTAGTTTGATTATTTTAGCGACATTATTTATCGAAATTGTTTCAAATTTGGTATTTGAAGTTCGTAATGAATACTACAGCCTCAGACAGAAAATGAGCCATGTAGGTCCACGTTTTCGTATAGCCTCTATATAATGGTACCTCCCGATATTCGGTATTTTGATTATTTTACCGACATTATTAACCGGAATTGTTTCAAATTTGGTATTTGAAGTTCGCAATGGATACTACAGCCTAAGACAGAAATTTGTCTGTGCAGGTCCACGTCTTCGTAGAGCCCCCATATAACGGTACCTCCCTATATTCGGTATTTTGGTGATTTTAGCGTCATTTTTCACCGGATTTTTTTCAAATTACGAATTTGGAGTATCGTTCTTTGCAGGTCCAGGTCTTCGTATTGGCCCCATATACCAGTACCTCTTTATATTCGGTATTTTGACGAGTTTAGGTACAATACTCATCGAAATTGTTTGAAATGTCGTATTTTAAGTTCGTAATGGAGCCTATGACAGAAAATTGTCTATGCTGGTCCAAATGGTGGAGGGTATTCAAAGTTCGGAACTTACTGCTTTTTAACTTGTTAACAATTATATTTTTGACAACACTGGTTAAAAATCTCACCCACGTTTCGTGGCTTACATTTTATTTCACTTTCGGGACCGGTCAAATGGCCGCATAACTCGGGCGATTTAAAGACTTGAGACAAATATTTTTGTAGGGCTCCTCATCGAAATAACGGTTTTAGACCCTAGGCCATTTTGGGTCAAATCAAATCAAATTTTCGGACATTTAGAGTCGATCTAAGTTTGCCTGTCCGTCCGTCCATCTGTCTGGCTAGTGCGCAG